TCGTGGTTGTGTATTAGGGCCTAACTCGTAATTCTGCAACATTGTTGGGCCTGATAAATCGTCTATTCCATTTTCCTCGACATTTTCATTCAAGTGCTCTTTCAGACAAACAATAATTACAAAAAAAAAAATTAGTCTATACTGTGTGTGCGGGAGAGTGAGTATGGATAAACTGATCAAGTAGCAAGAGTTTATCTTATGTTAAATAATATATCATCTGGATCGTAAGACTTCATTACATGTTATGCCACTTTGCAGACATTCCCTGATTACAAGCTGTCAATTTAAGCTAAACTGATGATGAGCTGCGAAACTTTGCGAGGTATGCTAGTCAAAAAAAGTAATGTTAAAAAGTTCTGAAGAATAACAAAATTATGTATGTGTATATAATTAGGCTAAGTTTTTAATTTAGTTCATTATATTAACGCATATTCCGAAACTTAATTTTTCAGATCCGAAATCATGCAATGCCATTTTAAACCCCGATCAGCCAGACGAAATGAAAGTCAGTGGATATCGACGCTCGCATATTCGTACATTCTTATGCTGGATATGCATCATCCTAACGGGTGGAATACTAAGGCTAGTATTGCATTGGTGGCGTCATTGGTATTTGCTGGCCACATGCCAGCCGTGTCCGTTGGAGGATGCACAACAAGTACTTATCGAAGAGGACTATCAGGGAAATCACAAGGTTTATCATGTTAAACATGTTCGCACGTTGGATATAGGACAACTCAAGTAGTTATTTACTTTAAGTATTCCTCTTGTTTTGTAATTAAAGTTTTTTTTTTCAATTGCAGAAAATTGCTCCAGCAAATGGGCGAGGAAGTTGATGAAAAGAAACTTCACCTGCCAGTTCACATATCTTCAGCGCATTTTAAAGGTACATGAAATGAAAGAAAACTCTTGTAAAATGGCATCTATTTAAGCACATGGGCACACGATTTACAAAGTATATGTTTTATATTTGGCTTTGAAAGAGATGAGATATCGTAAATCGGAAAATTTCAATGGGCAACTAAATGCGACTGGCAAAATAGTACTTCGTCACTGTAAAATGCAAATACATTTCAATACTAATGTATCGGTACTTACTAGTTTTAGAAAACGATACTACCAACAAGTGTGTATTTCGTTTTTCTTCTAGGCTACAGATCTTTAAGAACATTCCGATGCAAGCAGCTCGTTTATGTGTGGGAAAGCAGCGCCAACAACTTTCAAAAGATCAACGGATTGGATGTAAATGTACCTTGCTCTTATTACCATCAACAACGTGGCTTAACTACGCAAGAGCAGCTCGCACGCCGTATTGTATTTGGTGATAATGAAATAACAGTGCCCCTGAAAGATGTGAAGACTTTGCTATTTCTAGAAGCTCTAAATCCTTTTTATGTGTTTCAAATATTTTCGGTTGTCCTTTGGTTTACATACGACTATTACTACTATGCTTGCGTAATCTTATTAATGTCAATATTTGGCATATCAATGTCTATTCTACAAACGAAGAAGGTAATATAAAAATTTTAATAAATACAACATTTTAATAATCACTTTATCAACTGTAAAATCGAATTCTAGAATCAAGATGATTTGCAACAAACAGTTCTAAATACGGGAAATGCATGGATGGTCAACGCGAAAGGAGAATCGATAGAAGTGGATACGAAAATGCTAGTGCCTGGTGATATTATTGAAATACCATCATCCGGTTGCACAATGCAATGTGACGCCGTTTTATTATCCGGCAACTGTATCCTAGACGAATCAATGCTAACTGGAGAGAGTGTACCAGTTACTAAAACACCACTTCCGATGAAGCGAGATGTTATATTTGATAAAAAAGAACATGCACGTCACACTCTATTTTGTGGCACTAAAGTTATACAAACTCGGTATATCGGGTCGAAAAAGGTGTTAGCTTTTGTTATAAATACAGGAAACATAACGGCAAAAGGAGGATTAATACGCTCTATACTCTATCCACCACCTGTAGACTATAAGTTTGAACAGGATTCATACAAGTTTATTCAGTTCTTAGCGTTAATTGCCTGCATTGGCTTTATATATACTCTTGTCACAAAGGTAATTTATTTATTTTGTTTTTTATCTCAACCATTACATATATTTGTTCTTCAAAGATATTGCGTGGTACAGACACGGTTAAGATTGTGATCGAATCGTTGGACCTTATTACAATTGTGGTACCACCAGCATTACCGGCAGCCATGACCGTTGGCCGGTTTTATGCTCAAAAACGCTTAAAAGCTAACAACATATTTTGTATATCTCCGCGATCCATCAACGTGGCAGGCAGTATTGATTGCTGTTGCTTTGATAAGGTTTGACGCAAATACTGTTATGAAATTGTACTTTTTTAAGATTATTTTTTATTGTACAGACTGGAACTTTGACAGAGGATGGTTTGGATATGTGGGGCGTTGTACCAAAGTCGTCGACAAATCAGTTTCAAATACCCCTTAAAGATGTTAAGCGATTACCATACGATCATTTTCTGTTTGGGATGGTCACGTGCCATTCAATTACTTTCATGAATGGTACAATGATGGGTGATCCCTTAGATCTTAAGATGTTTGAATCGACTGGTTGGGTACTTGAAGATTCAAATAATATACCTGAAAACGAGAAATATGGACTGATCTATCCCACAATATTGCGGCAACCCACTCGAGACGAAACAAAATTATCTCCAAAAGAGGGAATGCCAACAAGATCATCTGTATTGCGACAGAATTCTGTAGATGATCTATTGGCTAACGTTGGAATTTTGAAAGCTGAGAAAAATTTTGATCATGGAATTGTAAGAGAGTTCCCCTTTACATCCACCCTGCAACGTATGTCAGTAATAACGCGTTGTCTCAGTGCTCAAGGATTCAATGTATACTGCAAGGGTTCTCCTGAAATGCTGCAACAATTGTGTCTGCCACAGAGTATACCGAGCGACTATACTCAACAACTATCAATTTTTGCAAAGAAAGGTTTCCGCGTTATTGCCATGGCATACAAGACTTTCAACCCAAAGATGAATTACACAAAGATACAGAGGCTTTCTCGTGAGGAGGTCGAGGTCAGTTTAGAATTTTTAGGCTTTGTGATTCTTGAAAATCGTCTTAAGCCTGATACATCGGCAGTTATAAACTCACTCAATCAGGCAAATATTCGCACAATTATGGTTACAGGTGATAATATATTAACTGCCATGAGTGTCGCTCGGGACTGTGGCATTGTAAGCGCTACGCAGACAGTTATCACAGTCCATGCTGTACCCTTGCCAAAAGCCTTTGACAAATCGAGTGCCGAAGAACATGTTTGTCAATATGAACTTCAGTATACTCTTGAGCTGGGTAGTAAAGCATGTTCACCTGCACTGAATGGTAATAGAGCATTTTCCGCTGGTGAAATCGTACTAAATATGGATCATCTCACAAAATCAACTAATTCATTAGTAAATGGCCTAAGTTGTAGCTCAAGTGTATTACCCAATAGCAATAGTTTGACAAGCGTAAAGACTATAGATACATGGACGCATAACGATATCGATGGCGATGATGTGGAGCTTGGAGCAGAGGCTGTCATACGTAATGATGCTAACTGGCGTCGTCAATATATATTTGCCATGGATGGCAAGACATGGCAAATTGTACAGAATCAATTTCCGCAGCAAATGGAAATCATTTTGACCCGCGGAGCAATTTATGCGCGTATGTCACCGGAACAAAAGCAATCTCTAGTGATGGAGCTTCAAAATTTGGATTATTATGTTGCGATGTGCGGAGATGGAGCAAACGACTGTGGTGCTTTAAAGGTAGCACATACGGGTATATCATTAAGTGATAGTGAATCATCAATTGCGTCGCCATTCACATCCCGTAATCCTACTATTGCAGCCGTACCAAATGTTGTAAAAGAAGGCCGCGCCGCTTTGGTTACATCATTTGGTATATTCAAATATATGGCCGCCTATTCGTTAGTACAGTTTATATCCGTAATGATACTATACTCGATCGATTCGAATTTAACAGATAAACAATATCTCTATATCGATCTTGGCTTAATATCGGTATTTGCATTCTTCTTTGGAAAAACAGAGGCCTATGATGGCCAACTCAATAAACAAGTGCCACTTAATTCACTCATATCGCCAACGCCTTTAACCTCTCTTGTGCTTCACCTAGTCGTAGTGGTTACATTTCAGGTCACTAGTAAGTAAAAATTTAATCTATATTAATTACAAAATCATAATTATTGACTTTTTTGCAGCCTGGTTCCAACTACATAAGCAGTCTTGGTTCACACCTTTTCGGCCAGAGGGAGAAGACCATTTAGGTTGTTATGAGAATTACACGATGTTTGCAATATCCAGTTTTCAGTATATTATACTTGCATTTGTATTTTCAAAAGGAGCCCCATATCGAAAACCAATATGGTCTAACTGGCCATTATGTTTGGCTCTGATTTTAAACGCTTGCATTGTCGTTTATTTGGTTGTTTATCCAAGTGATTGGATAGCCAACTTTTTTCAAATTATTGTTCCACCTGATATGTCATTTCGTTACATTATGCTCCTATATGGAGCGGCAGCATTTATCTCTCATGTCTTTCTCGAGAATTTTGTGGTTGAGTATTTGGTATTTAAGCGATTCCAAGTACGACGTGAACAAAATGTAAACACATCAACGCGAAAATATATGCGATTGGAATATAATATCAAATCGTTTGATAACTGGCCTCCCATAACTGAAGTATGTGATCTGCACGATCCAACAGATCTAGTGGTTGAGGTACAGCCGACATATGTTAATTTAGGTGCAGAACAAAATGTAGACGCCCAGCACAACGCATTCCCTGGATTTTTTGAGACATTAGAAAATAGTGTAGATCACCGTAATCGCTTTTCGATCCTGAAATCTAATAGCTGAAGTTTAAAAATAAATAGGTTACTCCACCAATCATAAGATAAGATAAGAATAATAATAAGAAAAGGAATATAAGATATATTTATAACTTGCTTGATTTTGTGCATCCAATTATACATATGTGCATAAATATTTAATCTAAGATTAATTAATATAAATATTGTTACACTTTGCTAACTGTTGATCGCATCTAAGATATTGAGTTCTTATCAGATTAAACCGATTAATATATGTTTTCGTAATTTATACCGCCGACCATTAAGAATAGAACGTAATTGTTTATAAAATTTATTAAAGTTTGTAATGTTATAAAGAAATTGCTGTACAATTCGTCATGGGATTGAGTGAAGTTTTTGCAGTGCATGTATTAATAGGAATACATATGCGATAATTATACCCTCCAAGTACATATATATGCATATAAAGTAATATTTCCTTATAAGTTGTCATGGTAGGTAGCTTCAAATAATTATAAGTATTTATTATGTAGTGTATCTATAGAGTATAGGTAACTATAAAATAAGTATTCAATAAAGGTTTTTTGTAAATCCAAAAATACTTTATAAAAAAATACTTTGTTTATACATAGAAGAATGAGGAATGTAAGGCGATATATATACTTTTAGATACCGAGGAGCTGAGTTGATCTAGCCCTGTCCGTCTGTATTCGTGTGCTCATATATTTATGTGAAGGCATCGATATCAAAACCTGTAAGGGTTAGATACATATTTTTTTTGGGATCGGGTCGATCAGTCTGGTACTAGTTTAATTTTTTATTCTCTGAACCCATTGAAAATGGGAAATTAGGGTAGAATGGTTTTGTAAATAGTATGCAACAGGCAGAAGGAATCATCGCAGCGCTCGTCCGTCCGTCAATATGAGTTCGTTGATCTCAGAAGTTATGAGCTAGAAAATTGAAATTTGGCCTGCATACTCACTCGTGTATACCATACGCAGTAAAAGTTTATCTTAATTTTTCGATATTTTATTCGATAACGTTTTCATCGAGAATAATCGAGAAATTTATTTGGGTTTTTCAGCCTAATTTGATCACTTTTAGACCTGGAAATTTCAGATTTACTGTGTATATACATTTGATGAATACAAATTTGTAATTTACAGATTTTGGACCACGCCCTCTTCGCCACTAATATGTAAGTATTTCCAGTAGTAGAGAACTGTGCTTTGGAATGTTGTACATTGTACACATATTTTAACCATATCATCAGGCTCTGAAGGTTTTATTATTACATATGTATGTATGTATGTGCCTTTGTCTTTTTGTATGTGTATACAAAAGAAGTGCAAATTGACTAGAATATCAGCTGGCAGGGTTCAGGATATCTCCTAGTCGAGCAATCTCGAATAGAGCCTTCTTACTTGTTTTATACAAATTTTAAAGTTAACTGAAAGAAAGAAAATGTTACATAAAGGACAATATTTACAAGTAAGTGTACTTAAATGGATGTATTTCAATATAAATACATATGTACATATGAAAAATACATTTTGAATGAGGTTTAACTTACCTTAGAGGTCCGTGGCAAGCTTAAGGTGAGGGTATGCTGTTGGCATTCACAGATCTGCTTAGTATATTCACATATATTCAGGTATCTTTTTCGCTCTCCCACAAAGCCAACTACGATAGAGACAACACAAGACGCTGTCAAACACGCTGTTGGTCAGTATCTCGTTTTTGGGCCCACCTGAACCAGCCAAACAGCTTTTGCGCTTACTCACTACGACAAATGCAACAAAACATGGACGCGACAAACGTCTTCAAGAAGTTTCGGATTCGAGCTCGGGACTCGACTTTGTGGTTCGAGTTTGGGCCATCAACTTGTGGCCTTTGCGTTGGCCTAGTCAGTTCTGTAGCTTTCGTCTGCATGGCATGATCGAGTGCGCATCAAAAAAGAGCGTAAAGATGTACGTATATTAAAAGAGACGTATGTGAGTGTTTAACTATATACGTATATATATGTAGATTCATCATTTATCATATATGTATATGTATATATTAGACCTCTTGGGACTGTTTGCCACATTAATAAGCTGAAAGTATTTTTCATCGAAATAAGTATGCATAACAATCAATACTTCATATACCAGTCAAGTGAAAATAGTTTATATGTTTGCGTATGTGTATATATTCATCTGTATACGTATAAACGTATAAATGTGTATGTATTCAGATCAAATTCAGGGCAGAGTGCTGCGAAAATTTATGCAACATTAAAATTAGCATAACTATTCGTAAAAAAGAAATATTTATATTTAGGCTGACTACGGATTGTTAAAAGAGGAATGTTGTAGTCCTATGCAGATACCAGTTTATCATTTGGTAAAAAAAAAAAAAAAAAAAAAAAAAACAAATAAATAAAATTATATCAGTAAATTGATTGAAAAAAA